TCAATAGATCCAATGCCCCAAATTATCCATAATTATCCATAATAATTCAAATCAATAATTATCCAAATCCATAACCTCCAAATCTCATTACAATTACAAGATCCAACCATCCCAACAGAACTAAACCATCCAAACGAACCACCTAAAGCTCTAAAAAAAGAAACCACACAAAATAAACCTCGAAGTCCAAGTCTACATCCAACTTCAAACTTCCAAACTTCTAAATTAACTTCAAAACTAAGAAAATCTTCCCGAAGAAAAACCGGCGAGTAAAGCGGAGGGAGAGATTACAAAAGCCAGCGAGAGATTACGAGAGACGAACGAAGCTAATATACACGGGAAACGAGCCGAGATAATGGCCGAACGAAAAAAAAATAACGCGACACCTCCCGCGGCTCGCGTTAATCGAGGATTAAGAGATTATCTGCGTAATACAGAGGCTTCCTGCGTACAATTTCCGGCTCCTCGTCCCGCGAGGGCGCGGCTTATCAGATGCCCGGCAAAGAGTGGAACAGACTCGCCGCCGATGCGAGAGACAAATGCGACAGCGAACAGGATATCGATCGGAGCTGAACGGGATGGGTTCATTATCACAGTCCACTATATGTTTAACGAGGTAAAACGACAGTCAGTTAATTACCGGGCCCGCGTAACCTATGATCTTCCGTTTGCCATCGGCGCGCCCGGCCGAGAGAGCCTTACTGTCATTTTTTCTCTTATCGAATTGGCACGCCACCGGCTGCCTCGACCTCTAACCCTTTGCGGACGGATGTCGACGTTAGAGAGATCGAATTTTCGTAGTTGGAACAATAAGTAACAAATGATTTGGTTATTGAAACAGCAAGAGATTAGTATGTTGTTTTTTTTCATTGTTTGAGGAATTGATATGTAATTTAGCTTCGTATGTTGAAGCTGAATTACATAGAAATTGCTTAATTAAGAGGAAAAAAGGAAATTATGTTCTGACCTCTTGCTGTTCGACTAATGACATCATTTGTTCGTGAGTTTTCTTTTGAATACGAACATTTTATCTTCCGAGATTCCTTAAAAACGGTTAACAAGGGTTTGCGGACGAAGATTCCTTTGAATGATTTTTTATTAGTGTTCTATGGGAATTATGGGAGTAGATTTATTGAAATTTCGACTGATTTGTATTTTAATTCTGTTTCATTGAAAACTGCGAAGAACTAAAAATCTTGCGTTGAACTTTTCAATGGTTTATAATTTTTATTACTGTTTTATAGGAATTATAGGAATGGACCTATTGAAATTTCTATTGATTTGTATTTTAATTCTGTTTCATTGAATACTGCGAAGAACCAAGACTGTCGTATTGGTATAACTTTCAATTCATTTATGTTTTATTACTATTCGCCAGGTTTTCACAACTGTCGAAAATATAACTGCCAACGATACGTTGCGTCGTTCCTTCGCACCGGTTTCTAACGCGTAACTTTCCGAAGCTGCGAAATACGCTGGATTGTACAAAACACTGCATCACGCTTGTTTCATTGTGCGTTACAGTATCGAATATGCCGTGAATACATCGAGGTTACCGATATTACCGATACACCTCGCCGGACACGCGAGTATCCAGCGTACCGGCGGCGCGCCCAGGTGAATGTCAAAAACTGAATTTCTGTAAATAACAGCTTTGTTTCGAAAAACGTTTTCTCTCGGCGGATCCCGCGCCCGTGCGCCCGTATTCGCTTCGGCCGTATATAAAGTGAGAAAAATGTTAGCTCGCTGTGTATACGGGCCGGCCATAAAATTTGCGAGCGCATTCCTGTCCAAACAGCGCTAACAAACTTCGAAAGCTACCAAGTCGAGGAGACTGAAATATTGCGATTGTTCAGATTGAACTATACCTTTTCGAACTAACTTCCGAACTCTTTAACCCTTTGCACTCGAGAGGTGACTCTCGGTCACTTGATTCGACACAGTAAAATTATAGAATGTGATACGTTTTCGAGAATTTGAATTATTTTCAGAGTACAGTTTGATTATAGTAATTTGAAAAGATTCTTTAGGAACGTGTAGCTTTTCGTAACGTGTAAGTTATCGGAACGGTTGTTCGATCGTTAGATTATAATATTGACAGTGTGACGCGTTACTTTCGAATTCCCCGTACGCGTCAGCGACGAGAACCGTAACGTTTCCCCAACGAGGAGAGACGTTATCAGGGCTGCTCGCCAACTGTTCGCGAAGTCGTCAGTCCAGGCCAAGTGCAACTCGCTGATTGGAAACTGATCGAACTTTCAAAGCCACCGTTGGAAGTCTCGAGAACTCCCGCATTAACTACCGAGACCGAGACGGAGCCGGAGAAACTGAGAGATGGAGAAACTGGGAGAAAGAGGAGGTGAAGTCAGTGGTAGAGGTCAGAGGTTGGGGTGAGGACTGAAAGACTGACGAACTGTGGAACTGAGGAACTGAGGAACTGAGGAACTGAGAGTTTTAGAGTTTAAGGATCTGAGTGTCTGAGAGTCTGAGAGATTAAGGAGCTAAGATTTTAAGGGTCTGAAAGTCTGAAAATATGAAAACCTGAGACTTTAAGGGTCTGATAGTCTGAGCGTCTGAGAGTCTGAAAATTAAGTGTCTGGAAGTCTGAGAGATTAAGGAGCTAAGACTTTAAGGGTCTGAAGGTCTGAAAACCTTAAAACCTGAGACTTTAAGGGTCTGGAAGTCTGAAAACCTGACACTTTAAGGGTCTGACAGTCTGAGCGTCTGAAAGTCTGAGAAATTAAGTGTCTGGGAGTCTAAGAGATTAAGAAGCTAAGACATTAAGGGTCTCAGAGCCTGAGAATCTGAGAGTTTAAGGGTCAGAGAGTCTCAAATTGAAATTCTTAAAGACAATAGCTTAAAAACAGATAAACGAGCTAAAAAGTTCAGAGATACTGCTGAGAGAATCCAAAAGGCAGACCGAAAAGTCTCAGTACCTGAATCCAGAAGAATTCAATAGCCTGAAAAATGTAACTAACCTCAAAAGTTCATAAAACGAACTGAGAAACTGAAAAAAAGACTGCGAAAGCTTGAAAAACCGAACCAACCGAAAACAAAAAACTGATTTCTGCCTGAGCCAGAAATATTCCAAAATTCTGCGAGACACTGAGACCCTCAGCAACGCTACAGAATCTAGCTCGAAAGACACACGCGAGAGACAACTCAAAACACCGAGACGAAAATAAGCGAACTTCAAAGAAGAGCGATCAACGAAGTCCGAGAGACACCGAGTAAGACTTGGCAGGTCTCAGCGGTAATGCGCCTCGAAGTGACGCGAGCGGTCGGCGGCATTAATCCGCAAAGAGGACGCGTGAAGGGCCGGTAAGCACGGAACGCTGGCTCCGTTCCGCGCGGAAGAAGCTACGGCCACGGATCGAGCGCGGAACTCGCAGTAATTCCGACGCTCGCGCTCCCGGGGATTAATTAACTGGTACGCGGCGCGCGTTGCGCGGCTCCCGGCGCGCGGCGCGGTAGAGATAGAACCGGGCCAAGGGAAAAAAGTAACAAATGGCCGGGAAACGTGCGAGAAATGGCTTCGTTAACGTCGCCGACTTATCACTGCGAGAACGGTGGGAACGGCGGGGGCGGAGAATTTCGAAACTCGCGCTCGCGCGCGAGGAAAAACCTGGGAATCTGTGTACATCTCGGCGGAACGAGTCTCTCCCAGCGGGTTTTTTGCCGGGAGTTTTATCAGGCCGTACTCGCGGCGCCGCTGGAACAGCTTCGAGGACGTTAAACGCGAGAAATGGATGATACTAAGAGGGGATTTTTGTTCTCCCAAGGCGCATCGTCGAGCTTCTAATTAACGATCAACGGAACGGCGAGTTTTATGCGGTGATAATTAGGTCGCAGATGTTCACCCGAAGATGATGATGACGTTCGAATTCGTTGATACGCTGCCGCAGTTTTGTTGTCGCCCTCGAACCCCGGCAGTTCGTGATTACGTTCGTTAATTAAATAAATGTACATCGAAACTCGCGTAAGTAGGGATCGATATCGCGCCGGCGATATCGACGATACGTTCTACGGGAGGTGCGTTGATTTATGCAAATTTGCCTTTCGGGAAACTCGTACGCCTCTGTCCTGGTCGTTAATGAATCGTTTCTTTTTAACGATGCAATTTTAATGTATCTGTTTCGCTTCTGAGATGACGATCGGGAAAAATTGAATTCTGATAGAATGATCATCGATTTCGTTGAATTTTATGGGGCAGTTTTGTGGAGACAAAGATGAATCTTCACGCTGGTAATCGTTTTGGAATTTAACGTTTCCAGAAAGTGAACTAGAAATATTTACATTCATTTTTCGCTTTCACACTGATACTGATGTGTGCTGAGAAATTCTTTCCATAATTATTAAAAAGATATGAGATATCTCTAAGAAACAGTTGAGCTCAATTTATCAATACTCAAGCTGAATTGTTAATCAATTTGACGTTTCAATACATGCATTCTTAGAGTATCTATAGAATTTCAAAATTTCAAAGGATCAATTGAACTGCTCAGTAGTTTTATATACGTTATTCTATATACGTTACACGGTATATTTTCGGCTAATTTTCAAAAAACATACTATAATATAATAACATAATTTTCAAATATCATATTGTGCAATATATTTCAAATAGATAATCAATTCAAACTAAATTTTATATTTTTCCAATACTGTGATAATTAGCGAAGTTCCATAGCTAAGTGTCTATATAAAATCGAGATTTCGAAGAGCTCCTAATTATAATTAATGAACACCAACCCTCCATCATTGGCCTAAGCTGTTGAGATACCATTTAAAAATCATAAAATTCTTATTCCTATGTCACATACGTAGGTTAACTCTAATGAACAACTGTAAACTCTCTGTTAGTCGCTAATGAGCCAAGTGTTGATGCGACTATAAATAAATAAAAACAAAAAAATAAAATTAGGAAACATTGGGCGAACCGCGTCGGTTTCCCAGGCGATCGAATATAAAAAATCTGAATACGATAATAATATACGAACCGATAGTGGAGCGAGCCTGGGAGTGAACGATGGGATTGTTATTGGCCTCGGAGTTGTTCGTCTGCGGCTGATCGGTGATGGCGGCGGTGGTGGAGGTGGCGACGGTGGTCCCGGGCGCGGAGTTGAAGCTCGAAGTGGACGTGGAGGACGGGTTCGTTGCGTTTAACGACTTCGATGACCAGGAGCTGCAAGTATCGCAGCCCTCCGCGGACCGTGTCGACAAGCGGCAGCAGGACCAGCGTTTTCCACTCCACAGTCCGGCGTGATAACGACCGCTCAGCCCCGGATTCTCGCTGCACACTGTGGACAAACAGCCCCCGGATCGCAAATTACCGCCATAAATCGCTAATAACGCCGCTCCAAGTAATTGCCGTGATCCCAGCCGCGCACGGATTATCCACTGGCCACCTCGCGCTATCGCTACACCGTCGCTCCGCGGTGTTTCCGATTTTTCGCCGCATCTCTCGGCCTTTTTCGGATCGTTTGCCCCTTTTTGCCGCGCGAGCGTCGATCAGCGGCATCAACGCGTTTCGCGTAACGAAAACATGGGAGTGTATATTTCCTTTGCGAATAACATGTTTGCTGCGTAGTCTCTTATGCTTGGATCTGTTTTTTAACGCTGGAATTACCAGACGGGTCGAAGTGAATGATTCCTGATATTATTTTACGATTATTAACAGTAGAATTGCCGAGTGTTTAACCCTTTGCGGGCGGAGATTCTATAAAATATACGAAACCTTCAACAGATGAAGCTTAATTAATGTAAAAAAGGAAACTACGTACTGATATCTTGCTGTTCGAGTAATCAAATCATTCGTCCGCGATTTGGTTTTTTAAATATGAGACTTTCATCTCGCCGAAATGTAGATGTTGGTCCACGAAGGGTTAATACGATTAATATGCGATTCCTGTAAAAATTGTAGCAATAGATTATTTTCAGTTTCTTCGGACATTCATTATAGTACTCGAATGAAGCTATTTATTTTCAAAATCATTTCAAATATTCAGTGCTTCGAAGATATCAATAATTAAACAAAGAAATCGAAGTACGTAGTTCTAATGTTAAAAAGATAACAGATGTCTCTGAGAAAATATTAAAAAGATTGATTTAGCAATACAGGAACTGAATTGTAAATCAATTAATCTCAATAGCACTCTTGAAATTTCTACAGTGGAATTTCAAAGTTAATTTAACAGCTCGATAGTTATAATTTTAATATTTATGTTACATCGTTGCATAGATTTTTGAATTTTTTTTATGTTGAGTTTGGTATGATGCGTCTATTCAAAGCAGTGAATAAATTCACGATGACGCCGAAAGGCGTCATCGGTACTGAACGCATTAACTCGAGCACTCGGTGATCGAAGTAGACGTGCCGATTCTTCAACGTCGAATTGACGGTTTTACGGAGTCTTTTAGAGAAGATTCAAAGCGAATCGTAAACCGGGCAGTTGAAGCTCGCCGGTGATTCGTTAGGAATGGCCCGCGATCGCTAATTACGGTAAACGAGCGAATGGTCTAAATGAACAGATGGTGGGAGCTCGAGGAGAGATCGCGTGGCAAGAATTATGATCCCATCCGCTATCGTTAACCAACATTTTAAACGAGCCAAGGGGAACAGAGGATAAAAATCCGGCGGTCTCGCTCGACTGTAAAATGGCGGATCGTTTGCTGGCACGTTTACCAACCCAGGCACGGCCACGTCTACGTCAGACGTCGAAACGAATGAAGACGGTACTCATTGGAGTTCAGAACGTCGTCATTTCGACGAGACGAACTGTTCATATTTGGAAGACTAAGTCACGGACAAATCATTTAATTACTTAAACAGCAAGAGATCAGCACGTAGTTTCTCTTTTTTCTATTAATTAATTAAATGCATAAATTTATTCCTAGCTCTCGATTACTCAAGATCCACTCTTTCATTATCTATACTATAGTAACAGTATATTTCCAAATGAAGTCGCGCGAGACCCTGCATTACGCGAGATCGAATTTCGACGCTGGTGTCGCGAGATCTCCCGTTGAGAACGGTGATTCCCGCGAACATCCGTAGTCCTCTCGCAATTACTTCTTCGATCCGCACGAAAAACAATCAAGCAACGAATCGGATGAATCAGAACGAGTGGATGAAAGGTATCGGAAGCTCTTAAACGGTCCTGGGGCGCGCGCGCGCGCGCCGCTTATCATCGGGTCGAATCGGGCCGCGATCTATCGCGGCCACTCGACGCGCGCAAACAACTCGAAAATGAAAAAAACCTCCGATGAGAACGACCTTTATAACGTTCAAAGCGTTCCTCGTTTAATTAATAACAGTCGAGAGAGAGAGGGAGGGAGAGAGAGAGAGGCCGATCAGAAATTAAAGTGTCTCGAAATGTATTTGGATCTCGCGAAGCTGGAAAAGCGGAGAACAAAGGAAATACTGTGGCATTCTCCTGGCGTGAAAGTTTATTCCGCGCAGATGCGATAAATTACAAAATGAGCGAGATTCTGGAGTACTTGGGCAAACTTTGAATAGAAAACGTTCGGGACCGAGTGGGTAGTTTGGAATTCGTGAGGCTGTCGAGATTTTTGGGGGTCTTGGGTAATCGGGATAAAGTGTGTGTGTGTGTGTCACTGATCACAGTATTATCATAGTATCAGGACAAGTGTTATCAACAAGAAAATAAAGGGACACACAGTCCGATAAATCAAGCCGAGCCTTGTCAATTATTTAAAACTTACTCGGTACGCCAGAGTAACCAAGTTACAAAAAATATCTGGTCTCACAAACCAGATAGATAAAATAAACATCTTCTTTGGTCCACTGACCTATATTACACATTAACAGAGTGTTTATGTTTCTGTTTATGTTTTTACATGAATCATCGCATAGATAAGACACGTATCAGAATTTGTACTTCTTTTGTTTCGCGTCGAAGCAGACGTATTCGTGAATATACAGTCTTTCTGTCACACTTCATTTCCCCAATCGCACAGTTCCAGTTTCCGCGTTGCCGTTCGTTCTCTGTCGACGAGCTACGGTTCCGCCGCGACCTTTCGCAAATTTCCCTCCGCCCAAGCCCGCACGCGAATTTACCGAAAACAATCCCCGCAACGCGGAACAACGACTAACGAGGAACCGCGCTCCCCTTCGAACCGTCGCTCGTTCCCGCGAGTTGTCGACAGCGGCGAACGAACGACCGGCAGAGAAGAAAAAATATCGAATCGCCATTTGTCGCCGCGACAAAGCTCCAATCTATTCGACGCCGTATTTACTTGCCGAATTATCCACCGCGCGCGAGCCTCTCCCTTTTTTCCCTCTAACGGCGCGCGGTGTGGCCGCCCCTGGAAACCCGAAAATTCGGATTCGACAACGCGTCGCTAAGTTCATGGTGTACGAAACGATTTTCATTGGAGAACAACCATTTTCATCGAATAACTTCCGTTTCTCTATCTATACGATGTTCAAATCGAAACGTAGAATAGCTATGTCATTGAAAAACTTCATAATATCCCCATAATGTGGACAACAACATAACCACCACGTGTTTAGCTCTGTACCTTAGAATTTTTGTCTGAAGCGTTTATTTCTATCACTCATACTTTTCAAGTTACCGAGTTTCATCCAGAAAACGGCCACCTCTGGATAAAACCCCATAATCCGACAACTCCCGTAACAAAAATTGAAGGTTAAATGTATCGTTAAGTGGTCCCAGCGATACAAAATGATTTCCATCCGAAAAATCCAAATTTTATACGAATAAACTCCGTTTCTCTATAAAATTTGATACTTTCGAAGTTATCGAATTTTGCCCAGAAAACGGCCATTCGGCCGCAATGTGAATGAAACCTCAAAATTCAACTATTCGGATAACTAAAGTGGAAGGCTACCAATGTGGTTGCTAAGTAGTTCATGCTATACGAAATGATTTTCATCGAAAAATTAACATTTCGAGGGAATAAGTTTCATTTCTCTATCTATGCGACGTTGGAATCGACGCTTAAAATGGCCATTATCATTGAAAAACATTATAATATCCCCATGACGTGTACAAAGACGCAACCACCATATATTCAACTCTGTACCCTACAACTTTTGTCCCAAACATTCGTTTCTATCACCCATACTTTCGAAGTCATCGAGTTTTCTTCCAGGGACGCTACTAATAACTCTGCGCGACGACTCGCCGGAAAATTGCGTCTTTTCCGCGGGGAAAACCGCGTCTTCCTTTTCCCGTTCGCGATCTTTCCGTTCCTTTTTGTTTGCAGTTTCTTTGGGACAGTTTTACTGAGAAACATGGACGCGAGACACGCCCACGGCTTCCTTTTTGGAAATTCACCCAGCGAAACTGAATGCTACTTGGATAAATGCACGGGATTCCCCTGGGCGATTTGCGTCTGGAATTATGGCGGCTGCAAGGAAGTGCTGATTTCGACCTTTCTGTGTTATGCAGCCGGATTTCACAGCCGGTCACAATTTTTCTTCGGATTTTTTATTAGTACACAGTTCTATTTATTTTTATTCAATGCCAATTCTAAAATCAAGTTTTCAAATATCTTTGAGTTCAGTTGCGATTTTATTCAGTTTCCTGACTGGTCACAGTTTTGTTCAAATTTTCAATTTGTAAAGAATTTTACTTATTCTTATTTAGCAAAATCAATTTTTCAAGTTTCTTTGAGCTTATTTACGATTTTATTCAGTTTCCTGATACAGTTGTATTCAGTTCCACACAGAATTTCACATATTTTCATTTAACATCAGTTCGAAAATCAAATGTCGCGAGCGTTGATCTTTAAACTTATACCGCATGCATTCGGTGTGTCGGCGCTGTACTCGTCCCTCAAAATTTCCCCCCACCTCCCACGCCCCGGGGCGCGTTATGAATTTTGTGATTGCGTCCGTAATGAGCTATGCAAATTAACGTACGACAATTTATTCGACAGCCCGTGCTCGTTAATACGCAACGTCGCGCGGCATTGCGATCATCTTTAATTATTTGGAGCCATTAACACGATGAAAGATTGAAAAGCGTATCATTAGCGGACGCGACTGTCATTCCTTCTATTTACCGAATCAGCGCGTCTGCCGCGATGATCCTGCATCGAAAAATTCACGATTACCCCTAAAAATCCCAGAGAACCTCCGAAAATTATCCGAAGACTCTCAAGCGCCTCCATACTCGTTTGATGAAATTATTTTCATCAATTATTTTCATTCATATGTGGATATTGTACATTTGGTAGTTTCTCGTAACAATAAGAGCATTCGTCCCGTTCGTAACTCGCAATCGTCCTCACGGTATCACGAGAAGGGACC